CTGTTTCTCTCTTTCCTATTTCCCTGATTTCTTCTCCTATCTTTGTTTTTTCTTATGTTATTTTCCACTTACTTTTCTGTTTCTTTTCCAGTTTCAAAACCTGGAAACATAGGTCATTGATTTTAGACCATTCTTCTTTTGTAATATAAACTTTGAATGCTATAAATTTCTACTTAAGCACTATTTTAGCTGCATCCCACAATTTTGATAAGTTATATTTTCATTTGCATTCAGTTCAAAATATTTTCTAACTTTCCTTTTAATTTGTACTTGGATCTACCGGTTTTTCAGATTTGTATTTTTTGGTTTCCACATATTTGGGGATTTCATCTATATATTTACTAATTTTCTTTCTACTTATATCAATTATCTTGAAAGGCATGCCAAAATCTCCAACTCTAATTGTGGATTTGCTTATTTCTCCTTTCAGTTCTATCAGTATTTGCTTCATGTATTTTGAATTTCTGCTGGGAGGTACATAAACATTTAGGATTGTTATGTTTTATTGATGAATGAACATTTAGGATTGCTACATCTTGTTGATGAATTGACACCTTTATCATTATAAAATCACCCTTTATCTGCACTAATGCTTCTTGTTCTGAAGGCTACTTCATCTGATATTTATATAACCACTCCAACTTTCTTTTGATTAGAAATTGCATGGTACATATGTTTCCATCCTTTTACACTAATCTATTAGTTTGCTTGTATGTAAAGTGTTAAGGATTGTATGGTTTTTGTAAATAGCACATGTAGTTGGGTCTTGAGTTTTTATCTAATTTAACAATTTTTGCTTTTTAATTGGAGTGTTTAGGCCATACATATCTATATGGAGAGATTTAAATTTACTTTCTTGCTATTTGTTTTCTATTTACCTCACATTTTCGTTCTTTCTCTTTTCTTCTCTTCTTTTGGATTATTTCTTCATGTTTCGTTTAATCTATTTTATTAGCTTATTAGGTATAGTTCTTTCTTTTGATTGCTGTAGGGTTTATAATATTCTTCTTTAAGTGATCACTGCTTATTTTCCAATAATATTAGATCCCATCACATGTAGCATAACAACTTTGTAATAATCAACTTCCATTTCCCCTTCATATGACTAATATGACTTTCACTATTTTTATCATATATACTTATTTTACATATATCATTAGCCCCTAAATACATTATTATTTTTGTTTTCAACAGTCAACTATCTTTTAAAGAAATATTAACAATAAGAAAAACAATATTTTAAATTCACCTACATATTAATCTTTTCTGGTACTATGTATTACTTTGGTCAAATTCAAATTTCTATCTTGTATCATTTTCCCTTTGCCTTAAAAACTTCTTTTAACATTTCTTATCATGCTTCTTTTCTGCTGAATACTTCTTTTGACCTTTTAAGTCTGAAAACAGTCTTTATCAATTCTTCATTATTCAAAAATTTTTTTTTGTGTATAGACGAGTAAGCTGGTCTTTTTTTAATTTTTATTATACTTTAAGTTCTAGGGTACATGTGCACAATGTGCAGGTTTGTTACATATGTATACATGTGCCATGTTGGTGTGCTGCACCCATTAACTCGTCATTTTATTATGTATATCTCCTAATGCTATCCCTTCCCCCTTGGGGCACCCCATGACAGGCCCTGGTGTGTGATGTTCCCCACCCTGTGTCCAAGTGTTCTCATTGTTTAATTCCCACCTGTGAGTAAGAACATGGGGTATTTGGTTTTCTGTCCTTGGAATAGTTTGCTCAGAATTATGGTTTCCAGCTTCATCCACGTCACTACAAAGGACATGAACTCATCCTTTTTTATGGCTGCATAGTATTCCATGGTGTATATATCCCACATTTTCTTAATCCAGTCTATCATTGATAGACATTTGGGTTGATTCCAAGTCTTTGCTATTGTGAATAGTGACACAATAAACATACCTGTGCATGTGTCTTTATAGCAGCATGATTTATAATCCGTTGGGCATATACCCAGTAATGGGATGGATGGGTCAAATGGTATTTCTAGTTCTAGATCCTTGAGGAATCGCCACACTGTCTTCCACAATGGTTGAACTAGTTTACAGTCCCACCAACAGTGTAAAAGTGTTCCTAATTCTCCACATCTTCTCCAGCACCTATTGTTTCCTTTTTAATGATCACCATTCTAACTGGTGTGAGATGGTATCTCATTGTGGTTTTGATTTGCATTTCTCTGATGGCCAGTGATGATGAACATCTTTTAATGTGTCTGTTGGCTGCATAAATGTCTTCTTTTGGGAAGTGTCTGTTCATGTCCTTTGCCTACTTTTTGATGGGGTTGTTTGATTTTTTCTTGTAAATTTGTTTAAGTTCTTTGTAGATTCTGGATATTAGCCCTTTGTCAGATGGGTAGATTGCAAAAAGTTTCTCCCATTCTGTAGGTTGCCTGTTCACTCCGATGGTGGTTTCTTTTGCTGTGCAGAAGCTCTTTAGTTTAATTAGATCCCATTTGTCAATTCTGGCTTTTGTTGTCATTGCTTTTGGTGTTTTAGTCATGAAATCCTTGCTCATGTCTATGGCCTGAATGGTATTGCCTAGGTTTTCTTCTAGGGTTTTTATGGTTTTAGGTCTAACATTTAAGTCCTTAATCAATCTTGAATTAATTTTTGTATAAGGTGTAAGGAAGGGATCCAGTTTCAGCTTTCTACACATGGCTAGCCAGTTTTCCCAGCACCATTTATTAAATAGGGAATCCTTTCCCCATTTCTTGTTTTTCTCAGGTTTGTCAAAGATCAGATGGTTGCATATGTGTGGTATTATTTCTGAGGGCTCTTTTCTGTTCTGTTGGTCTATATATCTGTTTTGGTACCAGTACCATGCTGTTTTGGTTACTGTAGCCTTGTATATAGTTTGAAGTCAGGTAGCGTGATGCCTCCAACTTTTTTCTTTTGGCTTTGGATTTTCTTGGAAATGGGGGCTCTTTTTTGGTTCCATATGAACTTGAAAGTAGTTTTTTCCAATTCCGTGAAGAAAGTCATTGGTAGCTTGATGGGGATGGCATTGAATCTATAAACTACCTTGGGCACTATGACCATTTTCCGATATTGATTCTTCCTATCCATGAGCATGGACTGTTCTTCCATTCGTTTGTGTCTTCTTTTATTTCGCTGAGCAGTGGTTTGTAGTTTTCCTTGAAGAGGTCCTTCACATCCCTTGTAAGTTGGATTCCTAGGTATTTTATTCTCTTTGAAGCAACTGTGAATGAGAGTTCACTCATGATTTGGCTCTCTGTTTGTCTGTTATTGGTGTATAAGAATGCTTGTGATTTTTGCACATTGATTTTGTATCCTGAGAGTTTGCTGAAGTTGCTTATCAGCTTAAGGAGATTTTTTTTTACACTTTTTTTTAAAAAAGTACTATAACAATGTTGCTCTTCTGTCTTCTGACTTTCATTGTGACTGATAAGTTTTTTGTTAATCTTATGATTTTTGTTCTTTGAATAATGTCCTTTCTTCTCTGAGACTGTTTTTAAGATTCTCTTTGACTGGTTTTCAGCAATTTGATAATGATGTGCCTCTCTGTAGTTTTCTTCATGTTTCTTTTTTTCACATTCACTGAGCTTCTTGGATACATGTGTTTGTAGCTTTACATCACACTTGGAAATAATTTGGTCATTGTGTCTTCAATTATTTTTTTCTGCTGCCAATCCTGCAGGACTTTAATTATACATATATAAGGACATTTGATATTTTCCACAGTTATTTCATGCTTCGTTCATTTTTTTTCCATTTTCTTTTGTTTTATTTTAGATTATTTCTCTTGATGTATTCAAATTTATTGGTCTTTTTTTTTTAATGCAGTGCCTAATCTGCTGTTAATTTACTGGTCTTTTTTTAAGGCAGTGCCTAATCTGCTGTTAATGCCATCTATATTTTTAATCTTTAGAAGTCCATTGTGGATCTTTTTTATATTCTCTACTTCTCTCCTCATTGTGTTCATGCTTTCCTCTAACTTCTTGAATATACATTGTATATTTTGCATGTTTGTAATAAATGCACATCTGCCTACTAATTTTTTATCAGTATTGTCTCTTGGTCTGTTTCTACTAATTTATATTTCTCTTCATTATTAGTCATATCTTCCATTGCATGACTATTCATTTTTCATTGAATGCCATGAATTGTGATTTTATATTGTTGAATTTTAGATTTTTGCTAGGGTATTACTTAAAATATTTGGGGTTTTGTTCTGAGAGGAAATTACTTGGAAACAATTTCATACATTCAAGCCTTGCTTTTAAGCTTTTTGAGAATAACCTGTACTTTGAGGCTAATTTTATCCCACTACTAAGGCAATATTCTGTGATATCTATCTGATGGCCTCTACATCGGGAGAGCTTTTCACTCTGCTTAGTGGAACACAAAACATTACCAACCCTATGAGAGCTCCAAAAATTGCCAGCCTGCTCTTTTCTAGTCATTATTTCCTAAGTCTTGGTAGCTTCTCCACATATAGACACACTGATCGGTACTCACCCAAAGGTTCTTGGGAAAACCCCTACAGCTGTCCTGACCTCTGCCTATGTAGCTCTCTTCTGTCTGCTCCTGTGCTGCACAAACTCAGGGTGCCTTTGCCTATATTTATTCTAAACTTTATCATCTCATCTTGGTGAGACTGCTGGGATCTGTTTAGCTTCCTTTTCCTTATCCTGTGACCAAGAAAATCTCTCCGGGCAGTGAGCTAGGCACTTGTAGGGCCCATATCATTTGCTTCCCTTTTCTGGGGTCACTGTCCTGTGCTGCCAGTGGTCCATCATGGCCAGAAACAGAAGTCTCTCTATTTTATTTTCTTGAAAATAATGGTTGTACATCTTTGTCCATTGAAATTGGATTTTTTTTTCTTTTTTCAGTAACAGTTAAAAAGTCATTCAGAGCCAAATTGGCTTAATAAGGGCAATCAAACTAGGATTGACTAAAAAGGAATGTAAGTTATTTTCTCATGCAGCCTGTAAACTCTTTTCTTGTCTACAGGTACAGGACACAATATCCAATCCTAGGCCTCCTGTATGATGACTACGAATATATACCACCGGGTAGTGAAACACAGACTATTGTGATTGAGAAAACAGAAGACAAATACACTTGTGTAAGTTCACTTGGACATTTTTAGCCCTATTTTGATTATATATGTACAGGTTTTTTTCTTTTTCTTTTTTTTTTTTTTTTTTGAGACAGAGTCTCCCTCTGTGGCCCAGGCTGGAGTGCAGTGGCGCGATCTCGGCTCACTGCAAGCTCCGCCTCCTGGGTTCACGCCATTCTCATGCCTCAGCCTCCCCCGCCACTATGCCCGGGTAATTTTTTTTGTATTTTTAGTAGAGACGGGGTTTCACTGTGTTAGTCAGGATGGTCTCGATCTCCTGACCTCGTGATCTGCACGCCTCGGCCTCCCAAAGTGTTGGGATTACAGGCGTGAGCCACCGCGCCCGACCGATTATATATGTACAGCTTTTTAAAATTGATGTAAAAAATCAAATGAACCAAAAACTTTTGAGTATTTTTTTCTCTTGGGATTGTCTGTTTCCATTATTGATACATAGTGGGAATTAAGAAATTTTGGAAAGATTCATACATAGGGCAATATAATTGATTATTTAAGCTATAATATAAATATAATTTTTGCCCCACAAAAGGAAGATAAACATTAGTTATATACTAATTTTATTTATTTTCTTGCCTATCTCAGTAGTTATTGAATGGGTTTCATTCAAATTTTCCAAAAAAGTTTCCCTTTTTCTAAAGCAGGTAGCAAATGTCATAGACAATTATGAAGGCAACTGGAAAATGGAGAAGAGGCATGTTTCAATAGAATTGTCTTGCAATCTTGCATGTGGTACTTATTCCTGTGGATTTTACATATATATATACACATGTATATACGTGTGTGTGTATATATATATGTGTGTGTGTATATATATATATATAATTAGGATTTAGAAAGAAGAGATGCTTCTAGCTTCCTCACTAGATTGTAACATCCTCCAGCTTTAAATCCCACAGTTATAGTGAGGCTGCTGAAGAATACTTTAAACATCATATACTCCAATATTTACTTTACCTTCTACAACATCCTCCAAAATGGCCAGGTGACATGGATCTTAGCATCTTTTAGGTGGTCCAATCCATTGCTAAGGGGACTGATTATTGAAACCTTCTTATAAAGGAATGAGAGCTACTTCTCTAAAACTTTCACATATTGCTCTATTAAGTTTTAAAGTAATGATCATCAAACAGGGGGTATATAGTTGTCCTTCAATATCCATGAGAGATTGGTTCCAGGATCCACTGCAGATATCGAAATCTGTACATGCTCAAGTCCCTTATACAAAATGGCATAATATTTGCATATAACCTATGCACATCTTACTGTATACTTTAAGTCATTTCTAGCTTACGATACCTAATTCAATGTAGATTCTAAGTACATGTTATACTGTATTGTTTAGGCGGTAATAACAGTAAAAAAAAGTCTGTACATGTTCATTACAGAAGTGATATTTTTCCTGAATATTTTCAACCCATCATTGGTGGAGAACCCATGGATACCAAGGGCCAACTATATATTCCCTAGCACAGTTGCTCTCTGCAGCAGCAATTTTGTACCTTAGGGGACATTTAGCAATGTCTAGAGACATTTTTGGTTTTCACAACCAGAGGGGTGGGTATTATTGGCATCTAGTGGTTAGAGAACTAGGATGCTGCTGAACATAATACAGTGTGAAGGACAGTCTCCCACAACAAAGAATTGTCCAGCCCCTAGTAAATAGTGTTGAGGTTGAAAAACTGCTAACAGAATGTTCTTGGGTTTTTTTCCTAATTATATACTCCTACACTGGTTCAAGAGATTCTAATAGTAAGCCACTGGTAGGGATCATAGGAATGTGTGATATCTTTCTGGTGAAATGAACAGAGAAAAGTTTGAGGATTCTAGTTCTCAAATCATACCGATCTGACTTAGAACATTGTGAAAATGACAGCTTTTGACTTCTTATGATAAATTATCTACCTGTCAAACTACTGAGGTACTAAAAGTAGGCAAAACTAAATCTATGGCTATTAAATGAAGAAATGGTTATCCTTGTGGGGTGGATACTGATTAAAAGGAAGCATAAGGAGGGATTCAGGGTCTTAATAATGTTCTGTTTCTTTATCTGGGATATGGTTGCGTATGCATGCTCAGTTTGGGAAAATTCATTTATTTGAATACTTATGTCAATTTTTTCTACATGTTTATTATACTTCAATAAAAGCCTTAAAATGCTTAAGTATACCATGGTGAGCAATAGACAAATATACAAATATCAATCAGGTATTCTGCAGAACCTTTTGAAAAATATTTAAAAATTACACTTCAGATGTATAGTTAATAAAATTAAACATCTGTTAAATAACTTTTAGAAACATCTTTTGGTTGAACAAGCTCAAATATTTAAGTCAACAAAAAAAAATCCAAAAAGTTTCTTTAGCGCTGAAGCCCTTCTTTTACTACAATCCAGCCATCAATCTTTTAAGTCTGGTTGTTGTCATCAATGAAAGCAACCAATGTTTAGTAATCCCAAAGTAAAAATAACCGCATTTAAACTCTGAAATGTTGTTTTTGTTAGGTCATTAATTAGCTGAAAATTACTTACTACTAATTATCAACCCATAGAATTTTAAATTTGCCAAAGATAATTTGATGCCGAAAGTTAAGACTGAGAAGCAATTGCTGCTACTAACCCTAACCACATGTGTCCCAGAGGTGGCAATATGAAGACCTGCCAAATAAAGGGTCTACAGAACAGTAGCCGCTACTTCTCTCTCCAGTAAAAATGTGCAGCAGTAAAAATCAAAATTGACATTTGAAGAATCTATAGATACTGATAGCAAGGTCAGAATATATTTAAATGCATTCACAGATGAAAATCCATATTTATTAAGAGACAATTGGACATACTTAAACTCTAAATAATACTAAGAAGGAAATCTACTTAATTCTCTTTCACTCTTAAAGTCATTTGAAACATACCATGACTAAAGTAAGAAAGACAAATCATTGTGTCATTGAATATATGTATAAAACAGTGCCACAAAAGTGCAGTGGATGTCCTTTTGTTTTATGCATACCAATTTAAATAATTTTCCATAACTTTGCATACAGTAACATTGACTTTAATTATGAACCAGTTGTAAGATAACTTTTTTTTTCTTTTCTAGCCATGAATGGATCCACTTCAAAGTATTACAACTCAAAGGCGTTTTTGTTTTGTGTGTGTGTGAGTGTCTGCATTAGTACTTTGTTATTTTTCCATCACTAAAGGCCAATCAGAATTTGGAACCATGCTGCTAACCCAAGAAATCTAATGGAATGAATTAGTTCTGTAGATCACAGCTTCTTCAGCCATTTATGAGACCTAAATCTTTTCTGTAACGCTCATGTATTCAGTATAACAACATACTAATTGAAAGAGGGACCTGCTTGTTTAAAGTTTGATTGCAGACACCGTAGAAGATAGCTCATTATTTTTCAGATAGGGTGCCTCCTAGATATTGAACTAATTTGTTGGGGTAGAGATTTTACAAGTTATGCCATTAGAAGATTTTCTCTGATATTATATGTGCAGTTCAGTCACAAGATGAAATCATGGGTTTTTTTTTTAACAGAAAAAGATAAAATACAATTGAAGCAAAAATAATAGCTAGTATAGAATACATATCTACTTTGCTTTTCACATTTGCTTTTCACACTAGGCCTTATGACTAAAAGATATGCTTTATTCATACTATTTTCACCTGTTGGAGAGATAGCTAAGTCAAAGGTGATGATTAATTTCATTTAGTAGGGAAGTGGAATAATATCTTTTGAAATAACTAAGTCCACTAAATTATACAGTATGCTATTCTGGTTCTAAGTACATATTAGTCCCTTGGCAAATCTGTTCTTTTAAAGCATACCTTCCCCAAATGAACCTACCTCTTAAAAAACATATAACACAATGTGGTAGTAGTAGGTGGAAGGAAGGTAAGTTTTTTCATAGTGGTATGCAAACATGTCATTGAAATATTACATAGATATAAAGACTTAGGGAATAAAAATAGCAACAGCAAATACTTGACAGATTTATCCTACTTGGGAGAAATATTTTGTAGCAGAGTATTTAGTATGCTTAGAAGTTGATTTAGCAATTGGGCTTTAGTGACCTTACAAAGTGAACATAAGTGAACACAAGTATTTTTTCAATGCAAGATGAGTATGAAAATTTTAAATTTCAACCCATCTGGCTAAAGTTAAGACTTAGCAAAAATTAAAATGTTGCCTTTGTCCAAGTACAGATTAAGGCAACAAACATATTTGGGTATATAATTTGAAGTTTTGAACTGAAATATCTTTGCAAGTATCCACATAAAATTCTGCAATGCCTTATAATTATATTATAATAATTATGCATTATACTAAGAAACCATTAAGAACAGTTGAGGCACTACACTATATCAAACCATAAATGAGGAAAAAACTTTTAATGTTCTTTTCTAGAAGTATTCAAATAGGTCTTGATATGAAGCTAAAAGCCTCATTTATATTATCTTAATATTTTGGCTAAAATGTTAAGCTCCATAACATGAATTGATACAATTCCAGTTTTATCAATATTTTGTGATAGAAAAATGTTAATATTCTTCATGAGCTATACAGTCCTTACATTTTTTTTTCCCTTGGTGTAGGAACAACAGAGGAGTTTCTCCTCTGCCAATAATTCATATATGTAACTGTAAAAGAAGTGTTCTATGTTATGCACACATTACAAATAATATAAGGGGAAGTTTCATTAGCTTAATAGGAAACTGTTATTATTAAGGTTTAAAAATGAGAACAGGTGTGAGTTTTCCAAAATACTTAAAAAAAAACAGTGTCCAAAATTCGGGGGCAGTTAAGGAGTCATGGATGGAACTAGAGGTCACTATGTTAAGTGACATAAGCCAGAAACAGAAAGACAAACATTGCATGTTCTCAATTATTTGTCGGATCTAAAAGTCAAAACAGTTGAACTCATGGATATAGAGAGTAGAAGGATGGTTACCGGAAGCTGGGAAAAGGGGTGTGCGAGGGGAACTGGGGATGCTTAATGTGTACAAAAACTATATGGTTAGAAAGTATGAATAAGACCTAGTATTTGATAGCACAACAGGGTGAGTATAGTCAATAATAGCTTAATTGTACATTTTAAAATAACTAAGAGTACAATTGGATTGTTTGTAACACCAATAAATACTTAAGTGGATGGATACCCAATTCTCCATGATGTGATTATTTCACATTGCATGCCTGTATCAAAATATCTCATGTACCTCATAAATATGTACACCTATTATATATCCACAAAGATTTTAAAAAGTAAGAAGTCAGCACTTTATTGGCTCACTTGATCCATGGATAGTGAATTGGGGTCATAACAACATCCTTATCATACTTAACAGTTTTTTCAATTGTAATACAAAATGTGATGATATAAAGAGCTGTTCTATATATTTAAATGACAAATATATATCTTTTCCAATTTGTGATTAAGATCAATAGAGCTAGTAGTGATAAATTTCCCTCTCATAAGTTTCACACTGCTTATCTCTGAAAATTTCAAAGTTGTCAGGTGAGGAGTGCCTATTTATCTAATTTATATTCCAGTATGTTTTCACTTTAGATTTGTCACATAAAATGGAGACTGCGCAATGACATGCAAAGTAATCTGTTTATGTGTCTAAATAAAATATGTGAAGTATTTACATGGTTTGTGTGAAAGTCCAAGTAGGAAATATGCAGAAGGATTTTAAGTTTAGCTGTATATTTTTGTCAGGAAATTATCATCATGTGAATGTTTATGTTGGAGCTAACAAGCATCACTCTCATTAAAAACAAAAGCAGAAAATTTCCTTATGTGGACTACTTTAACATAGTTCAACCTCCAGTTGAAGCAAGTTTCTTCTTTAAATTAGAATTTCTTTGCTTTCAAACTTAGATTTCTAAGTTCCATAACTCACTTGTTCCATAAAGCATTCTTCCCATCCTTGTAATAGTGCTTTTGCTGCCTTACTCCTTCTTAACATAAAGGAACAAAATAAAGCTTTAAAAAACTTTCCATCTCACCGCCCAATTTAGATCACCTTAACAAAAAGCCATCATCACACCTTTCCCATTGTTGCAATCTACAAAGATGACATGTTTCTTTTGAAAATATTAATTCTTTTGAAAGTAAATAATATTGTGAAAAAGTTTCCTTATGAGGTACATCTTCCCCACCACATGCCAAAACCAAATTGACTGGATTTCCATAGTACTTTTTGTCCAGTTAAAAAAATATGAAGTATTTCACACACAACTTAGGATATATGAAATAGTACATAGAAAACATTTAAATAAAGGAAGTAATAAACAAGTGCATCTTTCTTAATAAATCATTTAACAATATTTAGTCCTGAAGAAGACATACCTCAGAATTGTTTTACGAGAAAATCAGATAGCTAGGCAGTCTTGGTAATCTTAGATTGGCCTGTCACAGACAATGAGATGTTGTTAAGTTCATAGCCTTTACGCTTGGTTTCCCATCCTACCACATTAAAATAATTCTTTTTCAAATTGAAGTATATGTTCCAGAGATCCTTTATGTTGGAACAGTGTTTCCAATGTAATGCTTTGATTCTGTAGTTTGTTTGCTAACAGTGTTGAATACTTATTAATTCATATGTGCCAAGATCCAATAAGACAGACAAATGTCTTTAAATGGGAGAAAATATAGGCTTTTTGATCTAGTTCCCTAAAAGAGTCTGATGAGCCAGCCATGTCATGATGGGTGAGTGGCACTGGAATCTAGGACAAGAGGGTTTTGGAATCAGATGGGAGGTGACTAGGACTTACATTATAGGTTAAATGAGATAGTGTCAATATTGTCAATTGGTGCAGATTTTAAAATGGAGGAGAGTTCCCTTTGGAGTAGTTACTTGGGTAATGATCAAAGAGAAAGGCATAACTGAAACAGGCAAGCGACACATTTTTAGTTTGGGACATCTAATGCTATGCCCTTGAAGTTACAAATTAGCCAAGTTCTTCTGCAGGACCTTTAGGAATCTAAAGACCCCTCACAACAATATCCAGTTCTTATCCAGGATCCAAGACAAGAAGAGATCTTTCTCAATCAGTTCCAAATTTACAAGTTATAATTCTTTTGGAAGGACAGGGTGGAGTTGAACAAAGTTGGGAGATTGGGAATGGTCTCAAACCAATTATATTCTAAGGTTCTAATCTAGTCCTGCAGCTTCTCTAAAGCCTTATTAGTTCAAAAAAATCGTACTGTATGGAATACCAAGTCTAGTGAGCTTTTTCTTGGTTCTCACAAGGGGAAGTTGAAAGAGTTAAATGAGATGATTATTTTGTCCCTCTGCCTTCATAGAATACTAGTCATTTCCCTCTTGGAAGTAAGCATGTTAAGAATTGTGCTGTATCCTTCAAAACTTGTTGCAAAGATGTCTGGGATTTGCTACAAATTAAACCAGTGGGGGAAGGAAGCATCAAAATAAGCTAATCAGGGGTAAGTGGATGAAGGGATAAGTGAGGAAGAATACAAATGAAACAAGATTGGCCATAAAGTGATAATTATTGAAGCTGGGTGATGGCTATATAGAGGTTCATTATATTTTTCTATATGGTTTTCTGCAATTAAAGGGATATGTATCTTTAAAGAAAGTTCAAGGTTCAAACTAAACTTGTGGTTGTCCTGTAAAGACATGAGCAGTTGAATTTAAGGGCCCTATCTGGGTAAGAGTTCCCAAATACTATCTTCTCCTTCATGGCATAAGCAATTTAAAAGTGACAATTGGATAAATCTATCTACACATATGACCCTGAACTGTTCTAGAAAAATGTTTTTTCAGTAATTCCCAATTTTTTCTTTGTCTTGTGAAGGTACTTTGACTTACAGATTTACATTTTTTAGGTGGAATCTGTTCTGGTATGTAGGAAAGCATTATGCCAGGAAAATCCATATTTTAAAGACAATATTTTGTTTGTAACATGGGCTAAATTCATATCTGCTCTACCTGGGCTGACATTTTCTAAGCCCAATATAAATATAGAAGAAAATCCATATACTTTTCTCTAGCTCCACTGTAACCATGACAATTAGAATAACCTCTTAACATGGCTGCATCGTTCAGCTCCTCCACATTTCTTAGAGCCTCCAGAGTGATTTTCAAAACATGTAACAGTATTCTTTTCCTTAACTTTTCCCAAGGACTTCCCGTTTCAAACTTCTCATAGGTCTCATCTTTTTTTTTTTTTTTTTTTTTTTGAGATGGAGTTTCACTCTTGTCACTCAGGCTGGAGTGCGATGGCGCAATCTTGGATCACTGCAACCATCTCTTATCACTCTCCCTTGCTAACGATTGTCCAGCCAAAGCTTGTTGTATCTCAGGTTGTTTGCATCTGCAGGTTTCTCTGCCTTGCTTTTCCACAAGATCTGGTTGGCTGCTTCTTACCACTCATATCTCAGCTTTAATGTCATGTCCTCAGTAAGAATTCCCTCTGTCCACTCACCCACAACTATCTGTTTAAGCATAGTAATTAACATGTGCCAGAATTACAGCAGGTGCTTTTATCTACCACCTTATTACTCATATGGTGGCAACACCTGGGAACTTAATAGGAATGCAGAATTGTAGGCCCACACCAAATCTATTGAATCAGAATATGCATTTCAGCAAGTTCCCTAGGTGATTTCTATAGACGTTAAATTTAAGAAGCACTGATCTAACATGTGAGGCTAATATTTCTTTTTCTGCTAGTGATTAATAATAATTAATAATTCAATTGACAAAGAGTCTTAACTAACCATGCCATATATATAGAATTCTATGAAATGCTCACTGGTTTGAACATAAAGTTATTTTTATGCTCATTTGCAGAAATCTTTGCCAAACACAGACATCAATACTTTTCCTTTTGAATGTATATTGGGGAACATAATTAGATGTATTCACTGCTCAGGATTGTATCATTTAAGCAAGTTAAGAACTTTTAGTTTTCTCTATAATATGAAATCTAAGATCTTAAAATGGACACTTTTATTTATAGTATTTCATTATGATTTTAGCAGATAACATACATTCTTAAGAAATATGCATTACACAGTCATCATAACTGTTTAAATTCCTAGTTCATGTTGTTGTTAATGAACAAAATTCAGCAAGACATTAAAGAAAGGACCAATCTGCCTAAGATAAATCAGAAGTGAAGTCTTTTAATACAAAATATTGCAACTTTAAATAAACTCATAAAACCATGAAGTGCAATAAATGCTTTTTATTGTATGCTCATTTCAATGAGTAACATTTAGAAATAATAATCCCACATAACAGTAGCGATCTTATTTTACAGCGTGTACATCATTTACAGCCACATAACACACAATTTTAGTAGATATTCCAAATTTAATATTCTGAAGTTAAGAAAGATAAAAAATTTATTCTCAAGGAACTGATTCTTATCTGGTGCAAAAACAGAAAGGTGAACATTATTTGAAACACAAAGCCACAATATAGCATGAAGTAAAATTACATTTTAATTATGGTAAACAGCTGAATGTAAACATGAAGCAACTAAAACTTAAAAGTACATATCATATGCATTACATTTATGAACAGGATTTTCATAAAATTTCCCTAAACCAGTTTTTAATATTAAGTGCCATTTTGATTTGCAGCATGCTAACACAAAGCGTTGTTAAAGGGATGCATATTTTAAGTTTATACACTGTAAACTAAATATCCACCTCCAAACTCTATTGGCAGCATATTGCTCTGTTTAAATACTGCATAAACACTGCCTCGTATTGAAAATGCATGTTAATAATATGGTATATAGATTTTAAAAATCAATTTCAATAATGGCATAAAATTGCACCTTTAAACATTAGAGCAAGTAAGACTAGAACAATCATACTTGCTAAGACTGTCCTAAAAAAACTCTAGACATTATAATATTTAAGAAAACTGTGTTCTCTCAATTTAATCTTTAGATCATTAAGAAATATAGTGCTGATTTTGTTTGCAACGCTAATGTTGCATCCAGTTTCGAAAGCCACATTTGACTCAAATATACTTTTGTCATATATGCCATACTGAACAACAATCAACTTGAACATCAGAAAAAAAGGGAACTTTAATCTTTATAGACTTCACCTTAGACCTCAGCACAGAATGCTATATTTTAAGTATCCTATCCTGTGATAAAATATTAACAGCTCTGAATTCTTTTTTAATAGTACTGAATTAATCTAACCTGCTTTCCAGTTAGTTTTCTTTTAATGAATACACAAAACTTTTGTTGTTTCTGGAATTTAATTTCCAGGTACAATATAAAAGGCTCAATGACTAAGTGACTGATGAATGACCACATTTTGTCTCCCCGCCCCATTTCTAAAATTGCATAAAAGTGGGTTTGCTTGCTATAGCAAAGCATCGCTAAACTCAATTATGTATTCTCTTTTCAGAAACATTTGTATCTAACATAATCAGCCAAATAAAGTATTTGTCTTTGCTTTTCCCCTCTGTAGTTTAAGTATGCATATAATACTATTACATAGATACTTAAGAAGTTTTTCTGTGACCACTATAGTGCTTCTTAAATTCTTTAAGTAATTTTCAAAGGGCTATGGGATCCCCCATGAATTCAAATATTTTAAGATCTTTAATACAAAGAATGTAAAGTCATGGTTTAGTATCAAGCTTTGA